CTTCTCTCACAGACTAAGGCCTTGATTCAGTTTATACTTGAGTCAATACGTTTTCCCAGTTTTTGTGGTAAAATTAGGTGTTTTGGTTTATATTCGGGTTGGCTTATACTTGGGTGTATACGGTAACTTCAACATGCTTTGAGGAGGCTTTGGTTGTTAAAATGGGGTTGCGATTGCATAGAATCGTGAAATCATAAAGTTGGCGACAAGACCGCCAGATATACCAAAATCCACAAATAAAGCCTTCCCAAGAAATGGCCTCCAAAGCTATGTTTTAAGACCACCCCCACCCCCCCCCAAAAAAAAGGAAGGCGAGTCCCGTCTGGGGCTGCCTGGCCTCTCTTGCTCTCTGCAAGCTCTCCTTCTCAGCGCTGGAGGCAGATCTTGTTTCTTGTCATTTGAACCCATCTCTGGAGCAACGCAAGTCCCCTCCGCCACCTCTACGGTGACATCTCTTTAGATATTTAACGGGTGCCATCGTACCCCTGCTCAGCCTTTCTCTAAGCGTCACGTTTCCGGCTCGTGAAGGTGTTCCTCTCCAAGCCTTGGGGATCCGCGGGACACCTTCTCGCTCGTCTGTTACGGTCCTGCAACCGACGCTTGCTCCTGTTTGGCTCCCTGTATCACCCAACCACCAACCTTCTCATACTGAGGCCTACCTCACACAGAGGCTTCTCTCATAGACTGAGACCTTTCTCCCACTGAGGTTTATCTCAGATTGTGTGTGTGTCTTGTTGGGCGAGTGGGCTTCTCAACAAATTACGCTCTCCATAAATGCACAGCAGAGTAACTTATTAGTAGCAGCGTGAGCCAGCATGAGCAGCCCAAAGTGAGAAAAAGAACACAAACCCACAGACCACTGTGATCTCTTCCTTAGGAGGCTTTGCTTTGTAGCAAAATAATATAATTCCATCATTTACAAAAGCAAGGTTTCTGAGGAAGGAGCCCAGCGTGGAAGCAAAGAAGGAAGTATAAAGGACTACTTCCTTCTTTGCTTCCACGCTGGGCTTCTTCCTCACGCAGATAAACAGCGAGAAGTGTGAGAAGAAGATCGCTCTCACTGATCTTCTTCTCACACTGAACTTACACACGAGCTCCACACATTAGCCTTTTACACACAGGAGCTTTACACAAGAGGTCTTCAACCTGGAGCTTCTCACACCAGGCCGTCTCACACTCATCTTTCTCATAGACCAAAGCCGAGCTCACACTGTGAGGCCTACCTCACACAGAGGCTTCTCTCACGGACTAAAGCCTACCTCACACTGAGACTTCTCACAGACTTTGTTCTCACAGAGCCTCCTCTCACAACGGACTTATACTGGAGCTACACACAGTAGCCTTTATACTGGAGCTTTACACAAGAGGTCTTCAACCTGGGCCTTCTCACACTCATCCTTCTCATAGACTAAGGCTGGCCTCACATTGTGAGACCTACCTCACACAGAGGCTTCTCTCTCAGACTAAAGCCTACCTCACACTGTGAGGCTTCTCACAGACTTTGCTCTCGCAATGGACTTACGCTGGAGCTTCACGCAGTAGCCTTTTACACACAGTAGCCTTTATACTGGAGCTTTACACACAAGGCCTTCAACCTGGAGCTTCTCACACCAGGCCTTCTCACACTCGTCCTTCTCATAGACTAAAGACGACCTCACACTATGAGGCTTACCTCACACAGAGGCTTCTCTCACAGACTAAAGCCTACCTCACACTGTGAGGCTTCTCACAGACTTTGCTTTCACAGAGCCTCCTCTCACAACAGGCTTATACTGGGAGTACACACAGTAGCCTTTTACACACAGTAGCCTTTCTACTGGAGCTTTACACACGAGGCCTTCAACCTGGAGCTTCTCACACCAGGCTTTCTCACACTCGCCCTTCTCATAGACTAAGGCCGACCTCACACTATGAGGCCTACCTCACACAGAGACTTCTCTCACAGACTGAGGCCTACCGCACACTATGAGGCCTACCTCACACTGGGGCTTATCTCACAGACTTAAAGCCTACCTTACACTGTGAGGCCTTGTCACCGACTGAGACCTTTCTCCCACTGAGGTTTACCTTACACGGATGGCTACTGGAATTGGTGAGAAATCTCTTTCTCATTTCTATTATCTAGCACTTGTGGAGACCTTCTTACACACTGAGGCCTTTCTCCCACTGAGGTTTACCTCAGACTGATGCCAAGCTACAGGCGCACCTGCTTCCCACTGAGGTTTGCCTCAGAATGACGGCTACCAAGCTACAGGCACACTTGCTTATATTTTGCTGAGCCATTGCACCCATTTCACCCTTTCAGTGCTTGACTCACATATTTGTATTTTAAAATACCTAGTGAATGTTTGGTATTTCTGCCCCGGCCAGGTTTGTTTTCCAAGCCAAAGTGGGAGGGCGCTGGTTCCCGGCGGTGACGGCGCACAGCAAGAAGCAAGGCAAGCAGGAGGCGGCCGACGCGGCGCTGCGGGTCCTGATCGGGGAGAGCGAACAGGCCGAGAACACCGAGGGATTGACCATCACCGAGGTAGGCCGGGACAAGAATTCAGATGAGTAAACATAAACATTTATCAAAATATTTTAAAAAAGTCTTGGTCATCTGTGTCAAATCTAAATTGGCCTCGTAAAGTTTCCTTAAAAGACCCCAGAGAAGGAGAGTTGACCCGACTCCGAAGCAGCATATTCCACAGTTGGACCACTCTTGCTATCAGGAAGGTCTTTCTGTCGGGACAGATCAGATTGTGTCCTACATTCCACAAATGCCCCTTTCCACATGATCTGGACTTTCTAGTCCTAGGTCAGATTTTGGTATGGGTGAATAATAATAATAATAATAATAATAATAATAATAATAGTTGTCCTAGGTCAGATTTTGGTATGGGTGAATAAATAATAATAGTAATAATAATAATAATAGTAATAGTAATAATTGTTGTTGTTGTCCTAGGTCAGATTTGGGTATGGGTGAATAATAATAATAATAATAGTTGTTGTTGTTGTTGTTGTCCTAGGTCAGATTTTGGTATGGGTGAATAATCATAATAATAATAATAATAATAATAATAGTTGTTGTTGTCCTAGGTCAGATTTTGTTATGGATGAATAATAATAATAATAATAATAATAATAATGGTTGTTGTTGTTGTCCTAGGTCAGATTTTGTTATGGATGAATAATAATAATAATAATAATAATAATAATAATAGTTGTTGTCCTAGGTCAGATTTTGGTATGGGTGAATAATAATAATAATAATAATAATAATAATAATAATAATAATAATAATGGTTGTTATTGTTGTCCTAGGTCAGATTTTGGTATGGGTGAATAATAATAATAATAATAGTTGTTGTTGTCCTAGGTCAGATTTTGGTATGGGTGAATAATAATAATAATAATAATAATAATAATAATAGTTGTTGTTGTTGTTGTCCTAGGTCAGATTTTGGAATGTTTGTATAATAATAATAATAATACATCACACAGTCCTAGACGCTTGGGAAGAGTTTGACTTGTGATTTTGTGATACGAAATCCAGCATAGAGATCTCATTTGCTGTGACATACTGTGTTTTTGTGTCAGTATAATAATAATAATAATAATAATAATAATAATAATATAATAATAATAATAATAATAATAATAATAATAATAATATGCTTGGCTTAAGCTATGTGTCTTGATCAAGAGAGAAAAGTGGGGAATAATAATAATAACAATAATAATGATAATAATAATAATAATAATAATAATAATAATAATAATAATACATCACACAGTCCTAGACGCTTGGGAAGAGTTTGACTTGTGATTTTGTGATACGAAATCCAGCATAGAGATCCCGTTTGCTTTGACATACTGTGCTTTTGTGTCAATAATAATAATAATTGTTATTGTTGTTGTTATTACTATTATTATTATTATTATTATTATTATTTCTAGTTTGGGTACCCTGTGGTACCTGGATGATTGGAAGAAGTCCTTGTTTGTTTTGGGGTGTCAGGTCATATCATTTAGTCAATTAGGAACACTATTACTAATTGATATTGTGCCATGCTAATAATAATAATAATAATAATAATAATAATAATAATAATAATAATATTGTAAGCCGCTCTGAGTCCCCTTTGGGGTGAGAAGGGTGGCATGTAAATGCCGTAAATAATAAATAAATAATATTTGAAGTGGAATCTCGAATCTCTGGTCTCCAGAGGCGATCTTTGTTGTGACGCTTGCTCCTCTGTGTCCTTGACGCCTTCTTCTCTCCTCCTTCTCTCCTCCTTCTCTCCCTCTGTGGCTGTCTCTCCTGCAGCTCCCGGTGAGCGGGAGCACCCTCCACGACCAGATTGCGATGCTGAGCCACCAGCGCTTCAACGCCCTCACGGCCCGCATCCAGCACAGCCTGCTGGGGCGCAAGATCCTGGCCGCCATCATCATGCGGAGGGGACAGGAGGGCCTCGGGGTCGTGGTCAGCATCGGCACAGGTCAGCCCGCCCTCCCCAAACCCCACAGGGAGGGAGACTAGGAGTGGTGGGCCCCACAGTCTGACCCCTTGCGTCCTTCCTCTCTCTCCCTCACAGGGAACCGCTGCGTGAAAGGGGAGGAGCTCAGCCTGAAAGGGGAGACCGTCAACGACTGCCACGCCGAGATCATCTCCAGGAGGGGGTTCATCAGGTGAGAGTGAGAGAGAACGCGGGGTGGATACGCAGGGAACCTTCCTTACAGTCCTAGAGTTGGAAGAGACCTTCCAGCCCAGCCCCCTTCCTTCTGCCAGGCAGGAAAAGCACCACCCGAGCTCTCTCGACAGATGACCATCCAGCCTCTGCTTCATAATAGCAAACAATATTTATTTATTTATATTTTTGCCATATTTATATACCGCCCCTCTCAGCCCGAAGGCGACTCGAGGAGGTTTACGGTCGGCAGTCAATGCCCCCAAACAACATAAAATAGAGTTAAAAACATTACATATCATGTAAACCATATAAAAGCGATAAAAACAATAAAACATCTGAACACGAGGAAGAACTTCCTGACTGTGAGAGCTGTTCAGCAGTGGAACTCTCTGCCCCGGAGGGAGTGTGGTGGGGGCTCCTTCTTTGGAAGCTGTTAAACAGAGGCTGGATGGCCATCTGTCAGGGGTGCTTTGAATGCAATATTCCTGCTTCTTGGCAGAATGGGGTTGGACTGAATGAGGGCCCAGGAGGTCTCTTCCCACTCTAGGATTCTAGGATTCTATGAAAGCCATAATAATAATAATAATAATAATAATAATAATAATAATAATAATAATAATCTTGTTGTGTTTCAAATAATAATATATGTTTTTCAAGTAATGATATAATATATGTTTTTCAAGTAACAATCAAAGCCCTCCTGACAGATGGCCATCCAGCTTCTGCTTAATAATAATAATAATAATAATAATAATAATAATAATAGGATCCTAGGGTAGGATGGGACCCTAAAGAGGGCCACTCAGTCCAGCCCCTTTCTTCTATGCAAGAAAGGCACAATCCAAGCCCTCCTGATAGATGGACATCCAGCCTCTGGAAGTGGAGCTTGTCAAGGAGTCCAGCCTTCAATGCCCCATGTGTGGACATTGCAACCACCAGGATTGCATCATAACAATATAGGATGGGGCCCCAAAGAGGGCCACCCAGACCAACCCCCTTCTTTCTGCCAGGCAGGAAATGCACAATCAGAGCCCTCCTGACAGATGGCCATCCAGCTCCTGCCTAGTAGTAGTAGTAATAATAATCTTATAATGGGAAGAGACCCCTAAGGGCCATCCAGCCCATTCCTGTTTTGTGAGGAATGACACCACCTGAGCTCTCTCAATAGATGACCATCTACCTTTTGCTTAGAAGCTTCTAGAGAAGGAGACTCCACCGGGCTCTAACGGCCATCCCGTCCAATCTTTTTTTACCCAGCAGGAAAAGCATCATTATTATGATTAATGATGATGATGATGGGGTTGAAAAGCATCATTATCATCATTGATGGTGGTTGTGGTGGTGGTTGTTATTGTTATTATTAAGGGACCCCAGGAGGCCATCCAGTCCAACCCCTTTCTTTCTGCCAGGTAGGGAAAGCACCACCAAAGCACCCCCTAGAGATGGCCACCCAGCCTCAATTAGAAACCTCCCAAGGAGGAGCCTTCACCAGGCTCCCAAGGCAGGGAGTTCCACTGTTGAACAGCCAGGACGTTCTGTTCAGGTGGAATCTCCCCTCTTGCCATCTGAACCCATGGCTCTGCGGAGTCTCCAGGGCAGCAGCAGCACTGCCCAGATGTGGTGTCCCCGCCTCCTTTTCTCCACGGTCAACCCCCGCGGTGGCTCCCTATGGCCACTGATGGACCCCTCCTCTTCCTCCAGGTTCCTCTACGACGAGCTCCTCAAGTACGACCCGGCGGCCCCCGAGGACAGCATCTTTGAGCCGCTGCCCGACGGCCAGCTGAAGGTCAAGGACGACATCACCTTTCACCTGTACATCAGGTAAGGAGGACCAGCCGGGATTCTGTTTCGAAACCTTGTTTGTTTTGGGGTGTCGGGAAATATCATTTAGTCCATTAGTAACACTATTTATTAGGGAAAAGCCAGTCTTTGTTTTCGTTGTTTATGAATGCTCCCATTAGAAAATACATAACGATGTGAGTGGACTACAATTCCCAGAGTCGTGGGCCAATCCTCCCCAAACCAGGCTTGTATGCGCAGTTGGCCATGTTGCATCTATGTGCCAAGTTTGGTCCACATCCGTCGTCAGCTGGGTTCAGTGCTCTCTGGAGAAGGGTGGACTACAACTCCCATATGCCAAGGGCAGTCACCCCCTAATCCTGACAGTATTCGGTCTGTGTGCCAAGTGTGGTCCAGTTCTGTCGTCAGCTGGGTTGAGTGCTCTCGGGATGCAGGAGAACTACAACTCCCAAAATCAAGGTCATTTCCACCAAGCCCCAGCAGTATGTTGAGTTGCTCATGGGGCTTCACTGTGGCAAGTTTGGTCCCGGTCCATTGGCGGTGGGAGTGACAGTTTCTCTGTGTGCAGGTGAACTACAACTCCCATATTCCGAGGGCAGTCACCCCCAAACTCTGCCTGTATTCACAGTTGGGCATGTTTGGTCTGTGTGCCAAGCTTGGTCCATATCCACTATTGAGGGGGTTCAGAGTCCTCTGTATGCAGGGTGAACTACAACTCCCACATGAGTGGGTCATTTCCTCCCAAATGACCCTCCAGTATGTTCTGTGTGCCACATGTTTTCTAGATCTACCATTGGGGGCTTCAGAATGTTCTCTGGGTGCAGGATGAACTTCCTGAGCGTAAGGACTGTTCATCAGCGGAACTCTCTGCCTCAGAGTGTCATGGAGGCTGCTTCTTTGGAGGCTTGTAAACAGAGGCCTCCAAAGTGTTTTTGGGGTGGTTTTGATTGTGTTCTTCCTGCATGGGGGTTGGGCTAGATGGCCTTTGGGGGTCCTGATGGATAATGTTCTCGCCTTGTATGTCTCCCCCGCTGCAGCACGGCTCCGTGTGGGGACGGCGCGCTCTTTGACAAGTCCTGCTCCGACCAGGTCAACACGGCCGGAGAGGACCAGCACCAGCCCCTCTTTGAGAACCCCAAGCAGGGCAAGCTGCGCACCAAGGTCGAGAACGGTAAGTCTCCAGGTCCTCTCTCTTTAAAGATTTCAGCAGGGATCCCATCAGGTCCGCTGGATTTGTTATTTTATTTTTTTTGTTGGCCCAGGTCCTTCCTCTTTAAAGATTTCAGGAGAGATCCCATCAGGTCCACTGGATTTGTTTTTTGTTTTTTTGGCCCAGGTCCTCCCTCTTTAAAGATTTCAGCAAGGATCCCATCAGGTCCGCTGGATTTGGTTTTTGTTGTTGTTGTTGTTGTTGTTGTTGGCCCAGGTCCTCCCTCTTTAAAGATTTCAGGAGGGATCCCATCGGGTCCACTGGATTTGTTATTTTTTTTTTGTTGGCCCAGGTCCTCCCTCTTTAAAGATTTCAGCAGGGATCCCGTCAGGTCTGCTGGATTTGTTTTTGTTTGTTTGTTTGTTTTGGCCCAGGTCCTCCCTCTTTAAAGATTTCAGGAGGGATCCCATCAGGTCCGCTGGATTTGTTGTTATTATTTTTTGTTGGCCCAGGTCCTCCCTCATTAAAGATTTCAGCAGGGATCCCATCAGGTCCGCTGGATTTGTGTTTTTTTGTTGTTGTTGTTGGCCCAGGTCCTCGCTCTTTAAAGACTTCAGCAGTATTTTATTGTCTTCGTGTGAGTTATACTAACTGTATTGTTTATTTTGCTTATTGTTGTTTTTATTGATGTGTTGTTGGGCTTGGCCTCATGTAAGCCGCTCCAAGTCCCTTGGGGAGATGGTGGCGGGGTATAAATAAAGTATTATTATTATTATTATTATTATTATTATTATTATTAAACTACTTTCCAAGCCAGGACCGCACAATTAAACAGGAAGAAACACTTTCAAACCAGGAACAGAAAAAAAAATCACATTTTGTTGAATGGTGTTGTTTGCAGCCAGTTTTGGGGGGCTGGCAGTTGCACCCAGTTTTGTGATGAGTCTTGGGTGGCGCAGCCCTATAGAGAGCATGAAGCCCCCCCTCGGGCAGGGGTCTGTCTCCTAACCCGGGGGTCCGTCTCGTCCTGTGCAGGGGAAGGCACCATCCCGGTGGAGTCCAGCGACATCGTTCCCACTTGGGACGGGATCCAGCACGGGGAGCGCCTGCGCACCATGTCCTGCAGCGACAAGATCCTGCGCTGGAACGTGCTGGGCCTCCAGGGGGCGCTCCTCTCACACTTCCTCCAGCCCGTCTATCTCCGCTCCGTCACCCTCGGTAAGCACAACACGCGTGCGTGCGCATGATGGCCTTGCGTGTTTGGGGGGGGGGGAGCCTGTGTCAGGGACTCTGCCCTGGGTGCCGAGGAGCAGCTGCTGCGCTTGGTGCCCGCTTCCGGGCAGGTGGTCCCATCCAGATTTCTCCTTCATGCCTTTGACATTCTTTCGTTCTTGGGACTCTCTTGCCCTCGCCTCCCAGGGGGGACTTTTCCCCCCATCCATCTATCCTTTCTTCCTCCCTCCCTTGGCCTTCCTTCCTCTCTTTTTCTTTCTTCTGATGCTGTCTTTCTCTCCCTCCCTTCCTGTGTCCCCTTTCCTTCCTTCCTTCCTTCCTTCCTTCCTTCCTTCCTTCCTTCCTTCCTTCCCTCTTCTCGCTCTGTTTCCTCCCTTGCTGACTCTTTCTGCCTCTCTCCCTCTCTTCTCCTTCCTTCTGGTCTTCTTCTTTCTCTCTGATTCCCTCTCTTACTGCCCCTTCTCTTTTCTACTCTTCTCTCTTTGCTTCCTCCCTTGCTGAGCGTTTCTACCTCTCTTCTTCTCCCTTCTGCTCTTTCTCTATACCTCCCTCTCTTACTGCCTCCTTCCTTCCCTCTTCTCACTCTGTTTTTTCCCTTGGTGACTCTTTTTGCCTCTCTCCCTCTCTTCTCCTTCCTTCTGCTCTTCTTTCTCTGTTCCCTCTCTTACTGCCCCTTCTTTCCTTCCCTCTTCTCTTCTCTTCTCTTGTCTTGTCTTGTCTTGTCTTGTCTTGTCTTGTCTTGTCTTGTCTTTTCTTCCTCCCTTGTTAAGCATTTCTACCTCTCTCTCTTATTCCTTCTGCTCTTTCTCTGTTCTTCCCTCTCTTACTGCCTCCTTCCTTCCTTCCTTCCTTCCTTCCTTCCTTCCTTCCTTCCTTCCTTCCTTCCTTCCTTCCTTCCCTCTTCTCGCTGTTTTCTCCCTTGGTGACTCTTTTTGCCTCTCTCCCTCTCTTCTCCTTCCTTCTGCTCTTCTTTCTCTGTTCCCTCTCTTACTGCCCACCCTTCCTTCTTCTCTTCTCTTCTCTCTTTGCTTCTTCCCTTGCTGAGCATTTCTACCTCTCTCTCTCTTCTTCCTTCTGCTCTTACTGCCTCCTTCCTTCCATCCTTGTTTCCTTCTTTCTTTCCTTCCTTCCTTCTCTCTTCTATCTCTGTTTCCTCTCTTGCTGACTCTCTCTCCCTCTCTTCTCCTTCCTTCTGTTCTTCTTCTTTCTCTATGCTTCCATCTCTTACTGCCCCTTCCTTCCTTCCTTCCTTCCTTCCTTCCTTCCTTCCTTCCTTCCTTCCTTCCTTCCTTCCTTCCTTCTTCTATTCTCTTTTTGTTTCCTTCTTTGCTGAGTCTTTCTACCTCTCTCACTCTTTTTCTTCCATCTGCTCTTTCTTTATGCTTCCCTCTATTACTGTTTCCTTCCTTCTCTCTTCTCTCTCTGTTTCCTCTCTTGCTGACTCTTTCTCTCTCCCTCTCTTCTCCTTCCTTCTGGTTTCCTTCTTTCTCCATGTTTCCCTCTCTTGCTGCCTCCTTCCTTCCTTGCTTGCTTCTTTCTTTCCTTCCTTCTCTCTTCTCTCTGTTTCCTCTCTTGCTGACTCTTTCTCTCTCCTCACTTCTCCTTCCTTCTCGTTTCCTTCTAGTTTCCTTCTTCCTCTATACTTCCCTCTCTTACTGCCGCCTTCCTTCCTTGCTTACTTATTCCTTCTCTCTTTTCTTCCTTTCTTCTCTCTGTTTCCTCTCTTGCTGACTTTCTCTCTCCCTCTCTTTTTCTCCCTTCTAGTCTCCTTTCTCTATACTTCCCACTTTTATTGCCACTTCCTTTTCTCTGTATCCTCTCGCTGATTTTTCTACCTCTCCTCCTTCCTTCTGGTTTCCCTCTTCCTCTGTACTTTCTTCTCTTACTGCCTCCTTCCTTCTCTTTTCTCTTTCCTCTCTTGCTGACTCTTTCCACCTCCCTCTCCTTCCCTCACTCTTAGACCTCCTTCCTGTGTCCCTCTTTCTTTTATTCTTTCCTTCCTTCTGGTCTCCCTCTTCCTCTGTAAATCCCTCACTTACTTCCTCCTTCTTTCCTTCCTTCCTTCTCTCTCTGTTTCCTCTCTTGCTGACTCTTTCTCTCCCTCTCCTTCCCTCTCCCTTAGACCTCCTTCCTGTGCCCCTCTTTCTTTCATTCTCTCCTCCCTATCTCTCTCCCTTCCTTCCTTCCTTCCTTCCTTCCTTCCTTCCTTCCTTCCTTCCTTTTGTGCTCACTTTCTCCCCTTCCTTCCTTTTCCGCTCCAGGCTACCTGTACAGCCAGGGTCACCTGACGCGTGCCATTTGCTGCCGCATGTCCAGAGACGGCGACACATTCCAGGCGGGGCTCCCTGCGCCCTACGTGGTCAATCACCCAGAGGTACCTCTCTGTTTACGCCCTTTCGCCCTTCCTATTTATTATTCCCTTTCCTGTTTAGTCCCTTCTGCCAGCCCAGTTCCAGCTTTCCAACGCAGTTCCTAAGGCTGATGCTTCTGGAGAGGCACCTCAGTCGTGCGAGGCCGTTTCGTTACAGAATTGAGATAGAACCCTAGAGTTGGAAGGGACTCCCGGGGACCCCATCGTGGCAAAAACACACACACACACCCCCGACCAATGCCCCCTCCCCAGCCTCTGAAGAGCTTTCCCAGTCTCACCGGTCGCCCTTTTCCTTCCCCTTTTGGGGTCCACGCAGGTGGGGCGCGTGAGCGTCTACGACTCGGCCCGGCAGACGGGCAAGACGAAGGAGTCCAGTGTCAACTGGGCTTTGCCGGACGACACCGACGTCGAAGTCCTGGACGGGACGAAAGGCAAAGTGGACGGGTGAGCCCGCATTTCGGCCTCCCCCCCCCCCCCCCCCATATTCTTCTGAGTGTTTACTATGGTGCCTGAGAGGGAATTAATACTCAGATATTTAAAAAAACAATGGGCTGGTTTGTTTATTATTTATTTATTTGTATATTTGCAGTATTGGTATTCCTCCCTTCTCACTCTGAAGGGGACTCAGGGCGGATCACAGAACATACAAATCCGACAAACCATTCGATGCTGTTTTATACCCTGACAAAACAGGCAGTTGTACATACATAGAGGGATATATAGGCTTTTCCCCATCCTCAGCATCTTGGAGGCTGTGCTCGGTTCTGACCACAGGGGGGTGCTGTCACCACATCGCCCTGCTGAAGAGCTTTGTTTGTTTCTCCCACTGAGGCCTCTCTCACACTAAGGTGAACTAACACCGAGGCCTACCTCACACTGAGGCCTTTCTCCCATTGAGGCCTTCTCCCACTGAGGCCTTTCTCACACTAAGGTGAACTAACACTGAGGCCTTTCTCCCACTGAAGCCTTCCAAATCGCTGGCATTTCCTGATGGGTGCCTTAAATACCTCCCTGCTTTTAAACAGGACCTATTTGTCTATTTATTTATTTATTTGGAAGTTCCAATGTGATCTCTTCCTTGGGATGCTTTCCTTTAGAGCAAAAAACCATGGTTGCACTATTTACACAAACAAGGTTTCCATAACAAAAATAAAATTCAACCTTCACACTGGAGCTTCGCACAGGAGGCCTTCTCATACTGAGGCCTATCTCACACTGTGGCCTTTCTCCCACTGAAGCCTTCTCCCACTGAGACCTCTCACACTAAGGTGAACTAACACAGAGGCCTTTCTCCCACTGAAGCCTTCTCCCACTGAGGCCTCTCTCACACTAAGGTGAACTAACACGGAGGCCTTCTCCCACTGAGGCCTTTCTCACACTAAGGTGAACTAACACTGAGGCCTTTCTCCCACTGAAGCCTTCTCCCACTGAGACCTCTCTCACACTAAGGTGAACTAACACAGAGGCCTACCTCACACTGAAGCCTTTCTCCCACTGAGACCTCTCTCACACTAAGGTGAACTAACACTGAGGCCTTTCTCCCACTGAGACCTCTTTCACACTAAGGTGAACTAACACTCAGACCTACCTCACACTGAGACCTTTCTCCCACTGAGACCTCTCTCACACTAAGGTGAACTAACACGGAGGCCTACCTCACACTGAGGCCTTCTCTCACTGAGGACTGACTAACACTAAGGGCTTCTAAGCTACAGGCACATCTGCTTATATAGAACTTCAGCTTTTGCTGAGCCATTGCATCCATTTAACCCTTTCAGTGCTAGACTCACATTTTTGTATTTAAAAATACCTAGCGAATTTTTAATATTTCCGACAGGACCCCCTTTTGCCTGAGAGTCAAGCAGTGAGTCAGGGCATGGTCCAGAGTGACTCCCAATCTGCCATTAGTAAACACCTTGACTTTACATTTGGAATAATTAACGGTCAGTTGTTTAGTTTTCCGATATGCTTCTAGGGATCTTCACCCCGCCGCACGGTTTGCTAACGGTGCCTCTGCCCGGGTTCTCTCTCTTCTCTTAGACCAAAGCTGGAGGTCTCCCGGGTCTCCAAGCGGCACCTGTTTGCCCTCTTCCAGTCGCTGTGTGCCAAGGCGGACCGCCAGGACCTGCAGACGCTGTCCTCGTACTCGGAGGCCAAGGAGGCGGCCCAGGCCTACCAGAGTGCCAAGGGGCAGTTCTTTTGGGCCTTGCAGGAGATGGGCTACGGCAGCTGGATTTGCAAGCCCCAGGAGGAAAAGGCCTTTGGCCTGGCCGAAGCCTAGCCGGGATCCCTCCTCCTCCTCCTCCTCCTTTCCCTTCCCTCGCTCCCTCCCTCGGTTTTGGAGGCGGGGGCCAGTATTTTTTTTAATTAATTTGGGCTTTATTTTTTAAAACGGAAGAGGGAATGTTCATTTTACTTCGGGTTATGGAATTGTCTTTTGATTTCCCAGTTTGAACGGATGGCAGGTTTTAATCTCTTGTTGGGAAAGAGGGATGTCTTGCCCCCTTGAGTTTCCCCCTCCCCTTTCAGTAAAGCTGTGACCAGAATGAGAGTGAGAAAGAGGGAGGAACCCATTAGCATCCCTGTCTGTTTACCTATCTCAGGCCTGGGCCAACTTGGGCCCTCCCTCCTTCCAGGTGTTGGACTGCAACTCCCACCATTTCTAACAGCCTCAGGTCTTTTCCTCCTCCTCCCCCCCCCCACCCACTTAAGCTATCTATTGGGACCTGAAAGTAGGCCTCTATTAGGTCTATTATTCTCTCATCTATCTATCGGGACCTGAAAGTACGCATCTCTTAGGTCTATTCTCTCATCTTGTCTATCGGGACGTGAAAATATGCATCTCTTAGATCTATTATCTCATCTATCGGGACCTGAAAGTACGCATTCTCTCAACTTGTCTATCGAGACCTGAAAGTACGCATCTCTTAGGTCTATTATTCTACCATCTTACCTATCGGGACCTGAAGGTAGGCCTCTCTTAGGTCTATCACTGTATCCTCTATCTTAAGTGGCTAAGGGGGGAAAGGAAGGGTTAGGCTGTTAGGAATGGTGGGAGTTGCAGTCCAAAAGATCTGGAAGGAGGCAGGGCCCAATTTGGCCCATACTTGATCGATCTGTCTGTCTCGATCCTTCCTTTTTCCTCCCTTTTCCCAATTTCAAGCTCTGAGGGAGACTCCACCAGCCTTCCAGACAGCCCAAATTATACTAGGCCTGAAAAGGGCCCCCAAAGGTCATCTAGACTAGCCTCATTGATAGAGAGAGATAGAGATACATGCAGAATTGTACATAAGGAGACTCCACCAGACTCCTACAGCCCATATTACATTAGGCATGAAATGGGCCTTCAAAGACCATCTAGACTACCCTCCAGATAGGTAGATAAATAGGGAGAGAGGGGCAGAATGATACATTGGGAGACTCCACCAGTCTCCCAGATGGCCAATATAATGCTAGGCATGAAAGGGACCCCCAAGGGCCATCTAGACGAGCTTCCAGAGAGAGAGAGATACAGGTAGAATCATACGGAAGGAAGGAGACTCCACCAGCCTCTTACAGCCAATACTATACTAGGCATGGAAGCCCCCCCCCCCAGAGGCCATCTAGACTAGCCCCCTTCCAGGTAGAAAATATCGGCTGCCTGTCCTTTTCGCTGCTCGTACCATCAAGTTGACCGGCTTGAAGGCAACCCTCTTGCTTGGCCTGCCATCACTGCCCGTCGTTGGTGTTCCCGGCCAGGGCCACGTCTGTCCCCGGATTCAGATTGTGAGGCAGAATCAGAACAGAAGTCGGCCCCTGGCAGGCACCAAGGCAAGCGGGGCGGCATTTGCGGGGCCCTCAGAGCCCTCCAGGAAGACCCCTCAGGCCTTCCGAGACTCGCCCTTTTAAGAAATGGGCAAGAGAAGCAAGTCCTCGTCTATTTTTCTGCCATGGCATCCGTTCTGGTTGCCTTTTGGAAGGAGAGACAAAGGGACCCTCAGCCCCAAATGGGCCTTGGGCTCGCTAGAGGTCATCCTAACCGCCCAGGTGGAGGGGCGTCCATTGATTCAGCCCTCGGTCCTTTGGGTGCCCACTCGCATTTGCTCCAAAGGGTGGATGGTAGGAGCTGTGGTGGGGAGCACTTGGAAGAGCAACACAGGCTGGGACCCTTCATCTTTGCGTCATGTGTGCACGTGAGGTGTCCCTGCATTCAAGTCCTTGCCCACTTCCGCAGGGTCCCAAAATGGCAGAATGGAAAGGAAAGGGGGCTGTTCCTTTAAATACATTGTTTTCCACCCAAGCTCTTGGCTGTTGCTCTCACTTGGGGAGAAGAGCTGTGTGGAATAGCTTCAGGCACCTTCCTTCCTTCCTTTCTCCCTCCCTCCCTTCCCTCCTCTCTTCCCTCCTTTTTTTCCTTCCCTCCTTTCACCGTTCTTTCTTTCTCTCCTCTTTCCTCCCTCCCTCTTTTTTCTTCTTTCCTTTTTTCCTTCCCCTTTTCCTTCCTTCCTTCCCTCCCTCCTTCCTTTCCTCCTTTCCTCGCTTCTCTATTTTCCTTCCCTCTTTCCTCCCTTCCCTACCTCCTTTCTTCTCTCCTTTCTCCCTTCTCTCCTCCCTTTCCTCCCTGCCTCTCTTCCTTTTTCGTTATCTCCTTTTTCCTTCCTTTTCCTCCCTCCCTCCCTTCCTTCCCTCCTCCTTCCCTCCCTACTCTATTTTCCTTCCCTCTTTTCTCCCTTCCTTACCTCCTTTCTCTTTCTCCCTTCTCTCCTCCCTTTCCTCCCTCCCTCCCTTCCTTTTTCCTCTCCTATTTTCCTTTCCTCCCTTCCCTACCTCCTTTCTCCCTTCTCTCTTTCCTTCCTTCCCTTCCCTTCCCTCCTTTCCTTTCCTCCCTCCCTTTCTTTCTTCCCTTCTTTCTTCCCTCCTCCCTTCCTTCCTCCTTTCCTTCCTTTCCTCTCTCTCTCTCTCTCAAAGTCTGGGTTTTTCTTCGAGTCTTTTTATCCCAATCGAAGGCTTTTTCTTTTGTCTTTTCGACCAGCTTCGCCCCCCCCCCCTCCGAAGTGGCATTAAAGTGGAACGTGGGGGGGGGGGAGTCTCTCTTTATGCAACAAACTCTCTTTTTTCATCCAAAGGCAGACCCTTCTTGTCGCCCCACAAACCCTCCATGTCTCTCCTTCCTTCCTCCCTTCCTTCCTTCGCCGTGTGCCGTCTCTTTAAGTGAAAACCAACCCCACAAACAGATGTAAATTTATTCACGGCAAAACATGCAAACCCCGCCCTCTGTTGTCCCCCCCTTCCCTCGTCATCCAGGTTCTTTCTCTCCCTTCTTTCCTTCCTTCCTTTTCTCCTGTTTTCTCCTCTTTTGTGGTCAGTTCTGCTTCTTCCAAGCGACCCTCTAGGTTGACCATCATGAGACAACCAAAGTCATCACATTCCGCCTGAAATAAGAATAGGAATAATAATAAAAAAACCAACATTTTCTGTATTGGCTTCTCTCTCGTCGTGGTCGTTCTTTGGGGAGGAGGAGGAAGTGGATCTTTCTCGAGGCGCCTGACGTATTTATTTATGTATTTATGCGCAGCCTGAGCTGTCCCTCGCTCGCCACCAGGGGGCGCCTTCCTCGCTCGAGTCCCGTTTCCTTGCAGAATCGGAACAGGCGTTGACTCCCTCCCGGTAGGTGCGTGGCCGAGGGTCACTTCGGGGGGTCATTTTGCAAGGGGAAACCACAAAGATGCTTCGGGAGAGGGTTCTTCTCTCCTTGGATTTGGGCATCCTGGCATTGCAAGCCCTCGTCTCCCGTTTCTGCCGGTTGCAGAAATGTAAACACTCTCGTTCTCCTTTGTTTTGCTCTTTTTGCAAAACCACAATGCAGCCGAACCGGAGTTGCATTTTTAGATGGACGTCGTCTCCCATTTCCGCCAGTTGCAGAAATGTAAACATTCTCATTCTCCACAATGCAGTCAAACATGAATTGCATTTTTAGATGGACGTCGTCTCTCGTTTCTGCCGGTTCCAGAAATGTAAACATTCTCGTTCTCCTTTGTTTTGCTCTTTGTGGCAAAACCACAATGCAGCCAAACCAGAGTTGCATTTTTAGATTTACCATTTCAGGGCGAGGGCAAAGGAGGCATGTGCACAGTCCGAGGGAGGTTTTGGTCTCGGGGTCGCAAAGCCGCTGGTGCTTGTTGTTGAGTCCCTTCGGGGTCGCCAAAAGCGCCTTCCGGACTGTGGAGTTTGTGTTTCACACCTGAACCAGAAAACCCCTCGTTTGAAGGAATGCCCGAGTTGGGAGACGTTCTGTTGGGCCCAGAAATATATTCTTGAGTCACAAAAGTCAGGGTGTCTGTTGCCTTAGGACGCATCTACGTTGTGGAATGAATCCAGGTTAATTCCATGCAAATTGTAGTTTTTGAAAGGTCTCAAACCTTCTGTGCCAAAGAGCGCAAACTACAACTCCCAGGGTTCCAGAAAACTTCAGGAGTTTTCCAGGCCGTGTTCCGGCAGCGTTCCCTCCTGACATTTCGCCTGCATCTGTGGCTAATGGCATCTTCAGAGATCTATGGGAATGAGGCAAGTTGGGTCTACTACAACCATAGTACTTACTTACTTACTTTGGCGATCCCTCGTTTTCCGAGGAGGATTGTCTTCCAATATTCCTGTGGGCCCGTATGTGGCTGGAGCCCTCTTCTTGACCTGCATCTTCTTCCTTCCACAGTGAGGGCATTGGTGTCTAGGCGGAAGGCGGTCTCGGTCGGGGTTGGCTTGACGTGCCTTCTTCCTCTTGGCATGCTTCTCCCTTTCACCCTCCATTCGTGCCTTTTTGAATTCTGCAGCTGGAGCGCTCAAGGGCCAGGGCTTCCCAGTTCTCAGTGTCTATGCCAGAGTTTTTAAGGTTGGCTCTGAACCCATCTTTCAATCCCTCCAGGCAACAACCTGTCAGTACTATGGTTGTCTTTTAAAGATGGACAACCATAGTACTGACAGGTTGTTGCCTGGAGGCGCCCTCTGCGGTACTGAATGCATTCGAATGGGTTCCTTCCAAGCTTCCGTGGATCGGTCACCTGGGGGCATAAACTTTTCTGACCCAGGCACTTCCTTGTGGGCTTCCTAACCCATTATTATTATTATTATTATTATTGAATCTGAAGAGTTAGAAGGAACTCCAGGGACCATCTAGTCCAACCCCTTTCTTTCTATCAGGCAGGAAAAGCACAATCAAAGCCCTCCCGACAGATGGCCATCCAGCCTCTGCTTAAAAGCCTCCAAAGAAGGACATTTATTATTATTATTATTATTATTATTGAATCTGAAGAGTTAGAAGGAACTCCAGGGACCATCTAGTCCAACCCCTTTCTTTCTATCAGGCAGGAAAAGCACAATCAAAGCCCTCCCGACAGATGGCCATCCAGCCTCTGCTTAAAAGCCTCCAAAGAAGGACATTTATTATTATTATTATTATTATTATTGAATCTGAAGAGTTAGAAGGAACTCCAGGGACCATCTAGTCCAACCCCTTTCTTTCTATCAGGCAGGAAAAGCACAAAGCCCTCCCGACAGATGGCCATCCAGCCTCTGCTTAAAAGCCTCCAAAGAAGGACATATTATTATTATTATTATTATTATTATTATTATAGAATCTTCAGAGCTGGAAGGTACTCCAGGGGCCATCCAGTCCAACCCCCTTCTACCAGACAGGAAAATCTCTGCTGACAGATGGCCTTCCAGTCTCTGTTTAAAAGCTTCCAAGGAAGGAATCCCCTTTTGCAAAGAAAGACACCAGCTGAGCCTTCCCGACAGATAGCCATCTACCTTTTTTTGCATATAAAAGACTCCACCAGGCTCTAAAGCAGTTTATGGCTGGAAGGGTCCCCCAAGGGCCATCCAGTCCAACTCCCTTCTTTCTACCAGGCAGGAAAAGCCCTCCCGACAGATGGTCATCCAGCCTTAATTAACAACCTCCAGAGAAGGCTCTTCCACCAGACTCAGAGGCAGAGAGTTCCCCTGTTGAACAGCTCTTACAGTCAGGAAGTTTTCCCTAATATTTAAGTTGAATCCCCTTTATATCTAGCCATTTGTGAAGCTATGGCTCTATTGAGTCCTACCGGCTGTTAGGAGTTGTGGGAGTTGAAGTCCAAAACACTTGGAGGGAGGGCCGAAGTTGCCCCGTGTCTGATCAGTATATTCACACTAGTCTTGGTGGGAAAGTGTTGGTGAGATCTTTCGGCTTCCCACATACACAAACATGGCATGGATATATGGCATGGATCTGTCCATCGTTTCCCAACATAACCACCTGCGGAAAGGAACCTATGCACGTATGTATGGGACACTGGAAACATTTGATCTCTTGGCTCGGAATGGAGGGAGCGGATGCCGCCTTACCTTCCAATCCAAAAACCGGACTGTTCTCAGCTGGGAAAGCCCTAGATGCATGGCTCTTTTCAGGGATTAGGCATGCTTCTTTTCAAATCTGCCTTTGGGGCATTTCGGCGTATGGATGGAGACCAGGTTGGCGTTGGCCCAGATTCCGATTTCCAAGTGCAAAGCCTTTGCGACGGCACAACTGAACTCAAGACAAGGAGGGACACTCTGCCTAGGTGACCTATCTTTATTGGGTTTTGCAGTGCTGCGAGGGCAAAGGAGGCACGCGCACAGTCCGAGGGGGGTTTTGGTCTCTGGGTCGCAAAGCCGCTGGTGCTTGTTGTCGAGTCCCATCGGGGTCGCCAAAAGTGGATCAAGAAGGCAAGAACGCCAACGCCGCCTTCGAAACCGTTTTGGACTTCGGTTCCCAGCAAACAATGCTGGGAAGTGCAGTCCAAGACCGCCAGAACGTCCAGTCGCTGTTTGATGCTGTGGCTGCCCTATGGAATGCCTCTCCCAGCCTCCTTTGCCAATAACAAGGAGCTCCGTGATTCCCAATGGGGAGCAGGCAAAATGGGGACAACGCACCCCAAATACAGATTCTGCACCCAACTATGTTTCCTTCTGTCTCCCACATTGGCCTTTGCATTTTCCCTGGGACGCTTCGGCAGCCCCAACAGCATTTCCAAAATGCCCAAGGTATTCCTATCCAACATCGTGCAAACCTACAATTTGCAAAATATACGATCCCGTGCTTTCCTTTCCCATTTCTGGCCAGGTAACTTCTTCCCACTGAGTACGAGGCCTGCATTTTGAGCATTGCAATGCTCAAAATTGGGGGGGAACCGAAGGAAAGTCTGGAATCTCAAAATTTACGAGCCGTTCTGCGAATTCCCTCCCTCGATAGCTACTCCCACCCTATTTGCCAGCATCGTATGTACTATTCGGGAAGTTAAAAGGAGACGAGTGGCTAGACTATGCGGAGTTACGAGTAACAGCGAAATGCGCCTCGGTGCGCTCTTCCAGCTCCCTTGAGGATGCAGAGGTGTACGGGGGGGACGGGACGTCGATACATAGATATGGATATATAATCCTACGTGATTGTTTTTCCCTGAGTTGGGAGCTGGTACCCCATCGCTGGAGGAGGAAAGAAGGGAGGAAGGGAGGAAAGGAGAGCTGGGAGAGCCCCTTCCCCAAAAGGCAGCCCCTTTCCTCCCCATTTGTTGGGGTGCAAAGCGTCCGGTGAGTGTTCCCACACCATCGCACCCAAAGGAGTCCATTCAACCCGATAGTTGTTTCCATTCCAAAAAAGCAGAGACGCCGAGAGTCAGACCAAGGCCTGCCCAATGAGAATGGGCCTCCCCTTGCGCACAACGCCACTCTCCTTTCCAAAAAAAAGGATGCATTCGGTCCTTGTTTCCACATGTTGGCACCCATTGGTTGGTCCCCCCTTCTCTGTAGCAAGGAAGGGGTATCGGGTCTCTCTGTCCCAAGACTGGTTTTGTGGGGTCTTGTTTGGTCCCTCTCCCCCGCCTCTCTTTATGTCTCTCCATCCGTTTTGTGGCTCTCGCTCTCTCGCTCTCTCTCTCGCTCCGCCGCTATTTGGACCCCGGCGCTCCTTGGTGGATCTGCAGGAGGGAGTTGGTGGCATAGTTTTGGAAGAGCGGCTGCAGGAACATGCCGATGGTGCCGAAGACGCAGACAAAGACGAAGATCCAGAGGAAGAGGCGGTCGATCACCATGGCCACGTACTTCCAGTCCTCGCTCACCTGGAAAACAAGCAAAGTGGGACATTGGCACAGGGTTGCTCAGCTAGATCTCCCCCCTCAAGCGCCTATCCCGTCTCCAGAAGGCCCGGTAATGAGCTATCCAGAGCATCCCTTATCTAGAATGCATGGATTAGAACACTTCAGGTGTTTTCGACTCCCAACTCCGACATTTCCTAACAGCTTATCATTAAACATCCAATGAATGTTATCAAATGCTTTCTCTGCATCCAAGAACGTCAATGCTCCTTGCTGGTCTTACATACATACACTAGCTGTCCTCTGCCACACATTGCTGTAGCTCAGTATGTGTATTCGTGTTTTGTGTGTGTATATGTATGTGGACATAGGTGGTTTTGTGTATGTGTTGTAATGCATTTTTCATTTTTTGGCTTTTTATGTCCCTTCTGCTGTTTTTCAGTGTTTTTAGGAGTGATGGTCACTCGTTGGCCTGAGAGGGGTATAGTGTCCAAATTTGGTATCAATTCGTCCAGTGGTTTTTGAGTTTAGTTAATCCCACAAACGAACATTACATACACACACATACATACTAGAACTCCCAAATGACAAAATCATTATTTTTTTTAGTGAAGGACATACATTGGGTATTATGCCTGTTTGGAATCGTCATTCTCAAGCAACCAGAAGCAACATTTGTCTAGCATTTACCCCAGGAGTGCCAGTTAACTGAGAGCCTCCTACAATCCTACGTACGACGGCGTAGCGGCCTGGTGTCCCTTGCTTTTGGGGTCTGTTTGCAAGGTCGGGGTGCGGCATCAGTGAGGGTTAATGCGCTTTTGGGGGTGAAGCGGAGCGGCAGAAGGCCGGTCTCCCTCCCTGCGGTCCTTTTGCCGGAGACGGTCGGCCTCGCAGGCGCGGCGCTGCCAGACCCCATCTCGTCACGGCCGCGTCCTCCTCCTCCGCCAAGGTCGCCTTGCCCCACTTTAGGCGCCCGCGTGGACTTCAGTGCGCCTTCCTTCCCTCCCCCCCCCCAAACAGGCCTCCCTTTTGGACCATTTGCGTGCAATTTTTAGCATGTGGCTTCATGCCTGCGAAGGAGCCGTGCGCATTGCTCTGGAGGGGAAAAGGGATGACGCGCATCTGGAGCCGGAGAGGCAGGCAAACAGGCACTCGGCATGGCCCTCCGTGGCTCGGGGCTGGTGGCAGATTGCGCAAAGGCAGCCTTGGGATTTCGCATTCGGGAACACTTGCATATATGCATATACATGTGCATATAATAAGGCATCTTGAGCATGCCTTCCCTATACTGCTTGGATCAGAAGCTTTGGGATTTTGGATTTCAGATTTAGGAATACTTCTATATATCCATGTATGTATTTGTGTGTCCAGGTTCTGACAATGTGTGTGTGTTTGTTCGTGTCTGTGTGAGAGAGAGAGCTCTTGAGCATCCCATATCTATATTGCTTGGACCAACAAGGCTCCATGCATATGGAAACATGGGATCTGTAGTTCAGCAAGGCCTTTAGCCTTCTCTTGGACTGGATGCAGTTTGGCAGCACTGGAAATGCCCAGGCTCCATGTTACGGGCTCCTGGGAGTTGTAGTTTGGCAGAGAAGACTAAAAGCCTTGTTGAGTTGCAACTCCCAGGGTGGTTCAAGGGGGAAAACTACAACTCCCAGCATGGAACCAGGGCAGTTCTAATGGGAATACTACAACTCCCAGGAGTCCACAGCACAGAGGCAGAACGGTTCCAGGGGAAACTACAACTCCAGGCACGAAGCCAAGACAATCCAAGGGGGAAACTACAATTTCCAGGATAGAGCCAGGGCAGTTCTAATGGGAATACTACAACTCCCAGCATGGAGACAGGGCAGTTCAGGGGGAACTACAACTCCTCTCAGGAAGATAGGGCAGTTCAAGTGGGAATACTACAACTCCCAAGAGGCCACAGCAAGGAGCCAGGACAGTTCAAGTGGGAAACTACACCTCCCAGAACAGAGCCAGGACAGTTCTAATGTGAATACTACAACTCGCAAGAGTGCACATCATGGAGCCAGGACAGTCCAAGTGGGAAACTACAACTCCCAGGAGCCCACAGCAAGGAACCAGGACAGTTCCAGGGGAAAACTACAACTCCCAGGAGCCCACAGCATGGAGCCAGGATAGTTCCAGGGGAAAACTACAACTCCCAGGAGCACACAGCATGGAGCCAGGATAGTTCCAGGGGGAAACTACAACTCCCAGGAGCACACAGCATGGAGCCAGGATAGTTCCAGGGGGAAACTACAACTCCCAGGGCGGTTCCAGGGGGAAACTACAACTCTCAGGAGACCACACCATGGAGCCAGGACAGTTCCAGGGGAAAACTATAACTCCCAGAATGGAGCCAGAGCAGTTGAAAGGGGGGGGGGGGTCAAATCGCATGCAATTGAGAGAGCGCCAGTGCAGCCCAGACATCAATGTTTGCGCTTCTGACCAAGCCCAGGGGGACCGAGGGCCACCAAAGGAGCCCACAAGTGTGGCCAGGAAGAGCCGCCATCCTCGTGTGGCTTGACCCAAGAAGGCAGACCCTTCCCTTGCACCGCCCGAGGCCGCAGCATCACTCCTCCGCATCCCATGCTCCTTGTTGCTATGGTGACGGCTGGGAAGTTGGCACCTCGTGGCCCCCGAGGGGCGCGCATGGAGCATCTCCAGCAAGCGTCTGGCACCGCTGCTGCTGCTGCCTTGAGCGCCATATGTATGGCTGGAGATGCTCCATGCGCCCCTCGGGGGTGCCAGGATGTTCCAGGATGTTCCAGTCACAGGGGTCCAAATGGGGACGAGTGTTGACATGTGGTGCAACGGGGCTTTGGGGTGCCTTCCCGTACCCTAACGTCGGTGCCACCGAACGCCAGCCCCGTTTCCCCGCTCCCTTTGGCGTCCCCCCCGCCTTTTGTCTCGTCTCTCGGATGAATATTTCATGCGCTTTCTGCCTCCTCCGCACCCAGCCAAGCAGAAGGGAAATATTGATTCCGGAGAAAGAGAGAAAGGAGGAGGAGGGTCAGGAAAGGACAGCGGGCTCTGACTCACGGCTTTGGGGCGGAAGGGAGGAAGGAAGGAAAGACGGGCCAAAGTCGCGGTTCCCCCCCGTCTCATAAGTTCTGGAAATGCCGATCCATTGCAAAGCAACCCCAAGCTTCTCCGTCTCCTATGACTGCCACGGAAGGCGAAATGTGCTTCCCAAGCTCTGAGGAAAGCCACAGATTTGCCAAAAGGACTCCAAAGGTCATCCAGACTGAGAAATTGGGAGTTCGGTTTTGGAGGTGTTCTGTGGTTGGACGTGGCCAAAAGCATAGACCAGGCATGGGCAAACGTGGGCCCGCCGGGTGTTTTGGACTTCAACGCCCACAATTCCTAGCAGCGGGTGGCCCATCCCTGGTGTGTATGCTTAAGATGTCATATCTATCTATCTATCGGGACCTGAAGGTACACCTCTATTAGGTCCATCACCCTAGCATCTATCTATCAGTTGGGACCTGAAGGTAAACCTCTCTTAGTTCTATCACTAGACCTCAAGGCAGGCTTCCCTTACGTCTATCACTGGACCTGAAGGACCACTCTAGCGTCTATCTATCGGGACCTGAAGGTAAGCCTCTCTTAGGTCTATCACTGGACCTGAAGGTAGGCCTCTCTTAAGTCTACCACTGGACCTGAAGGTAGGCTTCTCTTAGGTCCATCACTCTAGCGTCTATCTATCGGGACCTGAAGGTACGCCTCTCTTAGGTCTATCATCTTTTGGGACCTGAAGGTAGGCCTCTCTTAGGTCCATCACTCTAGCGTCTATCTATCAGGACCTGAAGGTAAGCCTCTCTTAGGTCCATCACTGGACCTGAAGGTAGGCCTCTCTTAAGTCTACCAGTGGACCTGAAGGTAAGCCTCTCTTAGGTCTATCACTCTAGCGTCTATTTATCGGGACCTGAAGGTAAGCCTCTCTTAGGTCTATCACTGGACCTGAAGGTAGGCCTCTCTTAAGTCTACCACTGGACCTGAAGGTAGGCTTCTCTTAGGTCCATCACTCTAGCGTCTATCTATCGGGACCTGAAGGTAAGCCTCTCTTAGGTCTATCACTGGACCTGAAGGTAGGCCTCTCCTAAGTCTACCAGTGGACCTGAAGGTAGACTTCTCTTAGGTCCATCACTCTAGCGTCTATTTATCGGGACCTGAAGGTAAGCCTCTCTTAGATCTATCACTGGACCTGAAGGTAGGCCTCTCTTAGGTCCATCACTCTAGCATCTATCTATAGAGACCTGAAGGTAGGCCTCTTTTAGGTGTATCACTCTAGCATCTATTTATTGGAACCTGAAGGTAGCCCTCTGTTAGGTCCATCACTCCCCTATCTATCTATCTATCTATCTATCTATCTATCTATCTATTGGGACCTGAAGGTAGGCCTCTCTTACGTCCATCACTCTATAATCTATTGGGACCTGAAGTATGGCCTCTCTTAGGTCCATCACTCTAGCATCTATCTAAAGGAGTGGTTCTAAACCTGTGGGTCCCCAGGTGTTTTGGCCTACAACTCCCAGAAATCCCGGCCAGTTTACCAGCTGTTAAGATTTCTGGAAGTTGATGGCCAAAACATCTGGAGACCCACAGGTTGAGAACCACTGATCTATAGAGACCTGAAGGTAGGCTTCTCTTAGGTCCTTCACTCTAGCATCTATGTATTGGGACGTGAAGGTAGACCTCTCTTAGGTCTATCATTCTATCATCTATCCATTGGGACCTGAAGGTAGGCCTCTCTTAGGTCCATCACTCTAGCATCTATTGGGACCTGAAGGTAGACCTCTCTTAGGTCTATCATTCTATCATCTATCTATTGGGACTTGAAGGTAGGCCTCTCTTTGTTCTATCACTCTAGCATCTAACTTAAGCGACTGAGGGGGGAAAGGAAGGGACCTTAGGCTGTTAGGAATTGTGGAATTCCAAAACAACTGGAGGGAGGGCCCAAGTTGGCCCATGCCTGCATTAGACAATACCCCGTCGTCGTCATCATCCCCATAATAGCCCAAGGAAGGCCCCTCTTCAGGGGGACACTCACGCTCTGGTCGTCATCCTCACTCTTCATGTGGTCGGCAATGAAGCGGACTCCATCCACCGCCTCCTCCAGGCCACAGCTGCAGTGACCGGGTGGCTGTCCCGTCGTCGCCGCTGCCTGCCGCTCCCGGTAGCCGTTGACCCCTTCGGAAGCCTCCGTGAAGGGCCTCCCTGCAGCCGAGCCTCCGCCACTGTTGCCCCCTCCTCCTCCTGCGAACTTCTTGGTGGCGGAAGGGTTGACGTAGCAGGTGCAGGAGCGGGCCCCGTCGCGGAGGAAGAAGTTCCCGGCAGCCCGCTCCTGGCCCTGGCGCTTCTGGCGCAGGCGCTGGCGAGCACAGTTCTGCCGGGGCTGCTTCATGAAGAGCAGGGTGGGCAGCTTGTCCAGGAAGACCACCTTGACCCAGGGCGGCATGGTGTGGGTGGTGGGCGAGCGGTGGTGGACGTTGAGCACGCAGACGCTGGTGACGATGGAGAAGGTGACCAGCACCATGGTGAACATCAGGTACTTGCCCACCAGCGGCACGTCCAGCGAGGTGGGCGGGACAATCTTGGAGATGAGCAGCAGGAAGACGGTCAGGGCCAGCAGCACCGAGATGCAGAGGGTCATCTTCTCTCCACAGTCGGAGGGCAGGTAGAAGACCAGGATGGCCAGCGAGGTGATGAGGATGCAGGGGATGATGAGGTTGATGGTGTAGAAGAGTGGCTTGCGGCGGATGATGAAGTCGTAGGTGATGTCCACGTAGGTGGAGTCGTTGGGGTTCTCGTTGCGCCGGCCCGGGAGGGCGATGATGTCCCACTCGCCGCTGGGGGTGAAGTCGTCCAGGCTGGCCACCTCGCTCTTCAGCACCAGGTCGATCTCCGTCCGGTCGTAGGTCCAGGAGCGGAACTTCATGGTGCAGTTCTGCTGGTCGAAGGGGAAGTGCTTGACCTCGATCTTGCAGGCGCTCTTGTAGATGGCCGGTGGGAGCCAGAAGATGCTGCCATCAAAGGAGACCACCGCGTTGGAGTAGAAGGACACCTCATACATCCCGTCCGCACTGCCGGCAATGAGAGACAAGAGAGAGGGTGAACCCGTGAGCCCTGACCTGGGACCTGGAGAGGGTCAACCTGGAGAGGGGCCTGGAGAGGGTCATCCCATGGACCTTATAGAGAGGGTCAACCTGTGGCACCTTACAGCAAAGTCTTCCAGACTGGGTTAACCTGTGAAATCTTATATCCAAGTCTACTAGATAGACTTGTAGGACTTTATGTTGAACTCTCCTAGATATGGTTAACCTGTGAGATCTTATATCCAAGTCTTCCAGATATGGTTAACCTGTTGGACCTTTAACCTGTGGGACCTTAGTCTTCTAGATAGGGTTAACTTGTGGGCTTTTATAACCAAGTATTCTAGATAGGGTTAACTTCTAGGACCTTATATTGAACTCGTTTAGATATGGTCAACCTGTGGAACCTTCTATCAAAGTCTTCCAAGTAGAGTAAACTTGTGGGACCTTCTATCCAAGTCTTCGACTAGGGTCAGCCTGTGAGATCAAATATGCAGGTCTTCTATCCAAGTCCTCTGGATAAGGTTAACCTACGAGATCTTATATCCAAGTCTCCTAGATGTGGGACTTTTTATATTAAAGCATTCCAGATAGAGTTAACCTGTGAGATGTTATATCCAAATCTTCCAAATCTATAGGAACTTGTAGGACCTTATATTGGACTCTTCTAGATATGGTCAACCTATGGGACCTTCTCTCAAAGTCTTCCAGATAGGACCTTATATGGTTGTCTTCTAGTTAGGGTCAACCTGTGGGATCTTAACTCAAAGTATTCCAGATAGAGTCAACCCGTGAGACCTTATAACCAAGTCTCCTAGATAGAGTTAACTTGTAGGACCTTATGTCAAGCTCTTCTAGATATAGTTATATCCCAGTCTTCTAGATATGGGCCCTGACATTGAAATGGTCTAGACAGGGTTAACTTGTAGGACCTTTCATCCAAGTCTTCTCAATAGGGTTCACCACTTGTATCGAAGTGGCCTGCATAAGGTTAACCTGTAGACTCTTACACTGAAGTCTTCTAGATACGTGGTCAAAAAGAGAAAAGGTGAAGGACGGAAGAAAAGGGCGGAAAGAGAAAGAAGGTGACAAAGAGCGAAAGCAACAAAGGAGAAACGGGGTGGAAGGGCGACAAACGGAGGGTGGAAAGAGCAAGAGGGGAGAGGATTTGTTTGTCCTATATGTGAAAGACCTGTGGCCTAAACACTGAATAAACCACTAGTAGTAGTAGTACTAGTACTACTACTACTACTACTAGTAGTAGTAGTGGTTTAACGCCTTTCGCCCTCTTCTTCACCTGCCTTTTGTGATACCATTGCATTACTACTAGTACTACTACTAGTAGTAATGCAGTGGTATCACAAAAGGCAGGTGAAGAAGAGGGCGAAAGGCGTTAGAGCAGTGGTTCTCAACCTTTCTAACACCGGGACCCCTAAATATGGTTCTTTGTGTTGTGGTGACCCCCAACCATAAAATTATTTTCGTTGCTCCTTTATAACTGTAATTTTGCTACTGTTACAAATTGTAATATAAATACAAATCGTAATGTAACTACCCCTCCGAAATGGCCAGGCGACCCCCCTGGGGGTTGCGACCCCCAGGTTGAGAACCGCTGCGTTAGAGCAAGGGAGAGAAAGGGCAGGAAGGAAGGAAAGAAGGCAGGTGGAGGGAAGGAGGGTAGCGCTCTCTCTCTCTCTCTCTCCCCCCATCCATCTGTCTCGGCCGGACGGATCCGGTCTCCAGGGAAGGCGGGCTGGGCCTGCGTCACTCACTTGTTGTAGAGCACCACGTCCGGGAGCCAGATGTGCTTGGAGGGCAGGCGCACCTTCTTCATGTCGTCAAAGTCCTCGGGGTCCCAGGTCAGGCGGTAGTCCTCCCACTCCTGGCAAAAGGGCACAAGGTCAGGGCAGGGTCACGGGGGGGCAGGGGGGCACGACCCTTGGCAGCCACCAGCCCCTCCCTTGCACTACAACTCCCAGCCAGCCCCAAGACCCCGTTCTCAAACATTAAGGAGAGCCGGCGTATTGGAAGGACTGTCTCAGCGAGTCCCAAGGGCAATGCAAACTGTCCCTGAGTTACAAACACCCGACTTACAGACAACTCCTAGTTAAGAACGGGGCTGAGACAACAGGGAGTGAGAGGCATATTGTTGTTGTTGTTGTTGTTGTCATACAGTAGTATATATTATTAGTTTCATTATGTTATGATTTTGTAAACATCTGACTTACGGACATCCTAGTCAAGAATGGGACTGGACTGGATGGTCTTTGGGGCTCCCTTCCAAATCTACGATATTATATCTATCCTATGTATGGATAGATATATACAGGTCGTCCCTGAGTTACAGACATCCAACTTACAACTCCCAGTTAAGGACAGGGCTGAGACAACAGGAAGTGACCTCTCACGTTGTAAGCTGAAGGTCAAGTAGGAATGACCTGTAGGGACTCCCTTTGAGCTGGAGGTCAGTATCAGTGACCACTAAGGCCCCCTCCTGAGCTGGAGGTCGGTCTAGATGACCTCTAGGGACCCCTTTGAGCTGGAGGTCAGTATCAATGACCACTAAGGCCCCCTCCTGAGCTGGGGGTCAGTCTAGATGACCTCTAGGGCCGCCTTTCTCTCTCTTGTGCTCCTGAGGCGGCCGCATTGCTGTCTTTCGTGCCTCGGCCATCCATAGAAATCTCAGGAGAAGAGAAATTGGGATTCATATCATTTTTTGAACAGGTATTGTGGGGGAGGGGCCTCACCTGCGTCAGCCAGACGTTGGTGGTCATGATCTGTTCCCGTTCGTGCTGCAATAGAAGCAAAAGGGCGAAAGGCATCATCATCGTCATCATCGTCAGGGGCACTAATGCACTAAAGGGGCCAGAATCACCGGCCTCTCTGGCTTCCACCCCGCGGTTGCACCATCATTTATTCATGAGCGTGTGGGGCTGCCTTTCGAAAATGGAAAGTGGTGGGTTCCGTCTGAAAGCCCAGCAAGGTCCAGAAAGGAAACATCTAGACCACGAAAGAATACAATCGTGCAAATCGGGGGAGGGAGGGAGGGAGGGAGGGAGGGGGAGAAATACAATCGTGCACATCTGGCGAAGAATCCAATCGCGCAAATCTGGGGAAGAATCCAATCGTGCAAATCTGGGGGGAATACAATTGTGCAACTCTGGGGAGGATACAATTGTGGAAATCAGGAAGAATCCAATTGTGCAAACCTGGGGAGGATACAATTGTGCAAATTCGAGGAGAATACAATCGTGCAAATGTGGGAAAGAATCCAATTGTGCAAATCTGGGGAGGATACAATTGTGCAAGCCTGGAGAGAATACAATTGTGCAAATCTGGAGAAAATACAATTGTGCAAATCTGGGGAAGAATAATATTGTGCAAATCTGGGGAAGAATCAAATTGTGCAAATCTGCAAATCTGGGGAGGATACAGTTGTGCAAACCTGGGGATAATACAATTGTGTAAATCTGAGGAAGAATCCAATTGGGCAAATCTGGGGAAGTACAAAATTGTGCAAATCTGGGGAAGAATCCAATTGTGCAAATGTGGGAAGAATCCAATAGTGCAAATCTGGGGAGGATACAATTGTGCAAATCCAGGGAGAATACAATTGTGCAAACCTGGGGAGGTTACAATTGTGAAAACCTGGGGAGGATACAATTGTGCAAATCTGGAGAAAATACAATTGTGTAAATCTGGGGAAGAATCCAATCGTGCAAACTGGGGAGGATACAATTGTGCAAACGTGGGGATAATACAATTGTGCAAATCCAGGGAAAAATCCAATTGTGCAAATTTGGGGAAGAATCCAATTGTGCAAACCTGGGGAGAATACAATTGTGCAAATCTGGGGAGGATACAATTGCATAAATCTGGAGAAAATATTGTGCAAATCTGGGGCGAATCCAATTGTGCAAATCCGGGGAAGAATCCAATTGTGCAAACCTGGGGAGAATACAATTGTGCAACTCCGGGGGGAATATAATTGTGCGAATCCAACCGTGCAAATCTGGGTTTATTTGGAAAGAAATCCCAGGGATGGATGGGTCTTGCAATGGCCACTCCTTTGGAAGGAGGCCGCAGTGCTCCAGCGGTCACTAATGCCCCTCCAAGGGCTCGAGCGGCCCTTCCTTCCTTCCTTCCTTCCTTCCTTCCTTCCTTCCTTCCTTCCTTCCTTCCTTCCTAAGAGGCGGCTGGGGGGCTCCGCCCGCTTCTTCCCTGCCCTGGCTTGGCCTTTCCCTTTCATGTGGACATGGATGTGCAGCAAAGATGAAAATGGGCATCAAGCGTGCACAGCCGAATCGGAATGCATGCGTATGGCTGCACCGCCAGGAACGGGGACTTCGTTTAATTGGAACGGAAATGCAAAATCTGCCATTCCAGGTTTGCAGACTTGGGGGTGGCGTCTGCATACATACATACATATATTCTATGTGGAATGGTGTCCAGGGTGGGTCTTTCTGATGCAAGTTTGAGTCTTGCAATGAGCAAGCTGGAATAGCATTCTGTAGCCATGAAGTTTGCAAAGTCAGTCAGGGAGGGTCTCTGTATAGAGGAAGCCTGGCTGTGGTTGCCTGGAGGCACCCTCTGCTTGGGAGGTGGGTCCCTATATGGAAGCTTCTTGTTCACAGTGGCACGGTACGCATTAGACTTCTGCAGTGGGGAGAGGATCCCTCTTCTCTTATTTTCCTGGTGGGTCTACCTCCAAAACAAAAGATGCCTCCAGGCAACAACAGCCAGGATACCTTACTGATTGACTTTGCAGCTACATGGCTACTCAATGCTAATCTTGCTTGCTCATTGCAACATCCACAATTGCTTCAAACAGACAAGGGTTCTTTCTCCCACCCTGGACATCATTCCACAGAGGGTGTCTCCAAGCAAGAACAGCCAGGCAACCTCTAGACAAATGCCCTCACTGATTGACTTAGCAGCTACAAGGCTACTCAATGCGAATCAAGCTGGCTAATTGCAACATTCACACTTGCTTCACACAGACAAGGGTTCTTTCTCCCACTTTGGACATCATTCCACAGAAGGTGCCTCCAGGCAAGAACAGCCAGGCAATCTATGCAAATACCCTCACTGATTGCCTTTGCAGCTACAAGGCTACTCAATGCTAAGCTTGCTAATTGCAACATTCACACTTGCTTCAAACAGACCAGGGTTCTTTCTCCCACCTTGGACATCATTCCACAGAGATTGCCTCCAGGAAAGAACAACTAGGCAACCTCTAGGCAAATACCCTCACTGATTGACTTTGCAGCTGCAAGGCTACTCAATGCTAAGCTTGCTAATTGCAACATTCACACTTGCCTCGATCAGACAAGAGTTCTTTCTCCCACCCTGGACATCATTCCACAGAGGGTGCCTCTAGGCAAGAACAGCTAGGCAACCTCTAGGCAAATACCTTCACTGACTGACTTTGCAGCTACAAGGCTACTCAATGCTAATCAAGTTGGCTTCACACAGACAAGGGATCTTTCTTCCACCCTGGAAATAAATCCACAGAGGATGCCTCCAGGCAAGAACAGCTAGGCACCCTCTATGCAAATACCCTCACTGATTGACTTTGCAGCTGCAAGGCTATATTCAATGCTAAGCTTGCTAATTGCAAAATTCAACGAGACAACAGTTCTTTCTTTCTCCCACCCTGGTCATTATTGCACAGGGATATATATACACACAAACCCCACTTGCGCACTTTCCAACAGACCTCACAACCTCTGAGGATGCCTGCCAGAGATGCGGGAGAAATGCCAGGAGAGAATGCTGCTGGAACAGATCCAAACAGCCTGGGAAACTCCCAGCAACCCAGTGATTCCGGACATGAAAGCCTTGGACAACACGTTACTTACCACGCTGATGAGTTGGGCCAAGGAGACCATCAGCTGGACGGTGACCAACTCGGAGCCATTGGTGGCCGGGCGGATGAGCTTGTTGTAGCGCAGAGGGTCCAGGAGGTGCTCCACCAGGCGCTCCTCCGTGTCCGTGCACAGGCCCCCTGCGGACAGGACGAGGAGAAGGACCCCAGAGTGACCATTCGCACCAGAGAGCCAGCCCTGGGCGAGGAAGAGGGGGCAGCAAAGGAGACCCAGTGCTTCAAGGCCTGAGATCAAGGGCAGGCTACAGGAGGCCCGCAGAGTAAGGAGGAGGGAGAATTTGGCGATTGTTTGTCACTAGTGAGATTGGAGGCTACAAAGAGCTGCAGGTGAAGAGACAACAACATTGTACCATATGGAAGGGGAAGGATAGGAGGAATAGGGGAAGGAAGGAAGGAAGAAAGGAAGGAAGTTAAGGAAGATAAAGAGAAGGAACGAAAGAGAAGAGAAGGAAGGAATGAAGGGATAAGCAAGGAAGGATAGGAATGAATGGGAGGGAGGGATGGAGGGTAGGTAGGAGAAGGAAGGGTAAGGGAAGGGAAGGAAGAGATAGGGAAGGAAAGGGAAGAGAAGAAGAAGTAAGGGAAGAGAAGGAAGGGGAGAAGGAGAAAGAGGAAGAAGATAAAGAAGATGGAAAGGAAGGAAGAGAAGGCAATGGAAGGGAAGGGGGAAGCAAGGTATAGGAAGAGTACGGAATTTAATTGTGTATGAAGGTAAGGGGAGAAGGAAGGGAGAGAGGAGAGAGGGAAGGAAGGAAGAAGGAAAAGAAAAGGAGGGAGGGAAGGAGGGAAAGGAAAGGAAGGGAAGGAGGGAAAGAAGGAAGGAAGGAGGGAAGAGAAGGGAGGAGGAAGGGAGGAAAGCAAGAAGGAGAGGAAGAAGAAGGAAGGAAGGAAGGAAGGAAAGGAAGAGGGAAGGAAGGAAAGAGGAGAAAAGGAACTGAGGAAGAGTAGACACTTAGAAGAAGAAATGGAAGGAAGCAGAGGGTAGTTAGAAAGAGGAACAAGAATAAGAATCAGATGAAAGAAGAATGTAGAAGGAGGAAGGAATGAGCAAAGAAAGGTATGGAAAGAAGTAGATGGGAGAGGTATCGAAAGAAAGAGGATAACGTAACGGTAAAAAAAAAAAGTAAGCGGAAAAGCGCGTTGTAGGAAAATAAACTATTTAGGGTGATCCTACACAGGTACTATAAGTACTAGAATGCAGTTTGAAGAACCATCTTGCGATTATTTGTTGGAAATATTTCCCATTATTTTATTTATTTATTATTTTATTTGATGCACTTATTAACCGCCATTCTCAGCCCTTACGGGCGACTCATGGCGGTGTACAGTACACATAAAAAGACAGTTACAAAAGCCAGAATCCACAACACATAACTATACACCAAATACAAAACTACATAAAAATCCGCTTCGTCTCTTAGTAGAATCATAGGCCAATCTCATCATCCTTGTTCCATTCCAGTTCTCATTACCGTATTATTTGTTGCTTAGCACTTAATTAAATGCCCTTTCAAACAGCCAGGTCTTAAGGCTCTTCCGAAAGGACATGAGGGAGGGCGCCTGTCTGACGTGTATCGGGAGGGTGTTCCACAGCCGGGGGGCCACCACCGAGAAGGCCCTTTCCCTCGTCCCCGCCAGCCGTGCCTGTGACGCCGGCGGGATCGAGAGAAGGGCCTCCCCAGACGATCTCAAGGTCCTCGTGGGCTCGTAGGCCAAGATGCGGTCAGAAAGGTATTTTGGGCCGGAACCGTTTAGGGCTTTGTAGGCCAAAACCAGCACCTTAAATTGGGCCCGGTAGCAAATCGGCAGCCAGTGGAGTTGGGACAACAAGGGCGTTGTGTGCTCCCTGCCCCTCGCTCCAGTTAGTAGCATGGCTGCCGCGTGCTGAACCAGCTGAAGCTTCCGGGCCGTTTTCAAGGGCAGCCCCACGTAGAGAGCGTTGCAGTAGTCCAAGCGGGATGTGACAAGAGCATGTACCACCGTGGCCAAGTCAGACTTCCCGAGATACGGGCGCAGCTGGCGCACGAGCCGGAGCTGTGCGAATGCTCCCCTGGTCACCGCTGAAACCTGGGGGTCCAGGCTCAGCGATGAGTCCAGGGTCACACCCAAGCTGCGGACCTGCGCCTTCAGGGGGAGTGCGACCCCGTCCAGCACAGGCCGTAACCCTATATCCCGTTCGGCCTTACGACTGACCAGGAGTACCTCTGTCTTGTCTGGATTTAGTTTCAGTTTGTTCACCCTCATCCAGACCGTCACAGCGGCCAGGCACCGGTTCAGGACCTCGACAGCCTCCTTAGTAGCAGGTGGAAAGGAGTGACAGAGTTGGACGTCATCTGCGTACAGGTGACACCGCACCCCGAAACTCCGGATGATCTCACCCAGCGGTTTCATGTAGATATTAAACAGCATGGGGGACAGTATAGAGCCCTGTGGAACCCCACAAGTCAAAGGGTGGTGAACAGGAGTCCCCCAATAACACCTTCTGGGTACGACCCTCCAGAAATGACTGGAGCCACTGCAAAGCAGTGCCCCCAAGACCCATTTCCGCAAGGCGCCCCAGAAGGATACCGTGGTCGACGGTATCGAAGGCCGCTGAGAGGTCCAGGAGCACCAACAGGGACACACTCCCCCTGTCTAGCTCCCGGCGCAGATCATCCACTAAGGCGACCAAGACCGTCTCAGTTCCATGTCCCGGTCTGAAACCAGACTGTGCCGGATCCAGATAATCCGTGTCTCTCAAGAATACCTGGAGTTGTGAGGCCACCACGCTTTCCATGACTTTGCCCAAAAAGGGGAGATTGGAAACAGGCCGAAGGTTGTCCAATTTAGTGGGGTCCAGTGATGGCTTCTTCAACAGGGGCTTTATAATAGCCTGTTTTAGGCTCGCTGGAATCTTGCCTTCCCGAAGGGAGGCATTCACCACCACTGTTACCCACTCAGCCAATCCCCCTCTGGCCTCCCTCAGAAGCCAGGATGGGCAGGGGTCTAGGATGGACGTGGTGGGCCTCATCCATCCATCCTCCCATCCATCGATCCATTCTCTCATCTATCTATCTATCTATCTATCTATCTATCTATCTATCTATCTATCTATCTACCTACCTACCTACCTACCTACCTACCTACCTACCTATCTATCTATCCATCCATCCATCCATCCATCCATCCATCCATCCATCCATCCATGTATATCCCCATCTCTATCTATCTATCTATTTTTCTATCTCTCTCTCTCTATTTATCTATTTTCCTTTCTTTCTTTCTTTCTTTCTTTCTTTCTTTCTTTCTTTCTTCCTATCTATCCATCCATCCTCCCATCCATCCATCCATCTCTTCACCTCTGTGTCTTGCCTGTCTTCTTTCTGTTTGTGTGTATATATATATATCTTCAGAGACCCAGGTCTGTGGGGTGGACAGATGGCGAGGAGGCTTCCTCCGCCAACACCCCCCCCCCGTCCCCTCCGGGTGAACTTTTCACCGCAGCAGCAACCGCCTTCCACCCAGGAGGAGGTAGTCTCCCACCCAATATGGGGGGCTCCCTCCCCCAAGAGACAAAAGTGGGGCCTCAACTGGGATAATGGAGAGTGAGCCTCTGTCAGGAGTGATTCGATTGTGAGGGGGTTGGACTGGGCGGCCTCGGGAGGTCCCTTCCAACTTTATGACATCCTCCTAGGCCACTCTTCTCCCCCAAATGCACCTCCCGGCTCCTTGGGCAAGGTCTCCATTCCTCTGGACTAGATGACCTCTGGGGGTCTCCTCTGATTCTATAATTCTATGCACCCACAAAAACAACACCCCCCTTGGACACCATGATTGTAGGGGAAGGAGAGTGGCCCTTCTTCCCTTCTCATAGACTGGTCTAGATGACCTTTAGGAGTCTCTTCTGATTCTATAATTCTATGAATCTACAATAATAATAATAATAACAACAACAAACGCACCGTCCGGCTGCTTGGACAATGTTTCGGGGAAGAAAGTGATCTTTTTATGCTGGACTAGATGACCTTTGGGGGTCTCTTCTTATTCTATAATTCTATGAATCTACAATAATAATAATAATAATAATAATAATAATAATAACCCCACAGACCTCACAGCCTCTGAGGAAGCCTGCCATAGAGGCAGGCGAAATGTCAGGAGAGAATGCTGCTGGAACATGGCCCGGAAAACACACAGCAACCCCAGAATATCCCCCTTTTC